CCAGCTACAAGGGAGGCTGAGGCAGGAGAATCACCTGAACCTGGGAGGAAGAGATTGCAGTGAGCCAAGGTCACGCCACTGCACTCCAGCCTGAGTGACAGAGCAAGACTCCATCTCAAAAATAGAAAAAAAAAAATCACAAACTGAAAAGTGCATTCAACAGAAATCTAAATGCTGGCAGAACACATGATAGCGTGGGTGATGAACTTTCAAGAAAGAAGCTCAGCTCAGATAATCCCAAAACAACAGATGACAGTGCAGAAAGTCTATTCAGACAATCTTCAATAGTGTTTCTCTTTCAGTATTGGCACAGAGGTTTTTTAACAAAATTTTAGCAAGACAGACTCAAAAACATAAATATTAAAACATAATAAATAGCATTTATGTAGAATTTGTGTAAAATCTTTAAATTTTTTAAAGATGAGTGAAAACAGATCAAGACAAAAAATTAATAATAAATGCTTAACAAAAAAAAATATGTTCACTAAATAACTGTTGAATAATCTGACCAAATAAGTGGAAAGAAAAGAAGTAGGAAATGCTTACAAAAATTCTCTAACCTGTCCTCTCTTAAAAAGCAAAACAAACAAAAAACTTCCAACAGCCCAGCAGATTACACAGTAAAGTATATGTCCATGACATGTGAAATACAAGAACTGCACATTTCAATTACATAAAGGGCCACTCTGTAAACTTCTAGCTGAACCAGATGCTTGGAGGTGAATTTAGAAGCACTGTCAAGCTATCAGATAAGCTGCAGTGGCCTCCTTGTACCAGCTTGCCTTCTCTCTTTGATTTGAAACCCTGGGAGCCAAGAAGGAAGGGAAATTTTCTCCTATTATCTGAGGCCTAACCAGTGGAATACTATGGACCAATTAAGAATGTCTTTACTCTAGGAAGCTAAGCTAAGTGGGGAAGGAATAGGAGAAGGCTAATACTTTTCTATTTTCCTTTTGTGTCCAAAAGAAATTTATCAGCAGAGTTAGTTCTTTATCTTCTCCTGCCTACTTCTCTTCCTCACTCCACAGGACAAGCAGCATCCTTAACTGGAGATCTGCCTGTGGGCTTTTTGACAAATTTGGCAATCCTTGATGAGATGTATATCAATACTTAATATTATATTCACAATATAGTTAAGTGTAAACTATGTCTTTAAAAGAATTAAGTTCAAATTCTACTTAAAAGTTTTTAAACAATTACTTTTCACATCAGAGACCTCCTTCTTGCAAACCAAGTCCAAGTTTACATTCTTGGTTCTCAACACTCTCAAAATCATTATACACATTAAAAATTGTGTTCCCATACTACCATAATCAAATATATTTTCAGGACCTTCTCTATGCCAATCAATGTGCTAAGCCCTAAGTATACCCTCATGAACAAAAGAGACACCATTCCACATACAGCTTTTTATAAACTTACCTTTGATGAAAGCGTCACTTATTGAGAGCTGTTGTCCTCCAGTGTCAGAAATCAAATACTCTGCATACCAGGGAGACAACAGAGAGGAGGAAGGAAAGGAGAGACATATGACTATAAATATGTCAGCATAATTATATAGCAAAAACACCCACACACAAAATATTACTCATACTAAACCCATCACTGCCCAGCAAATTCAAGAAAGTTTTGGGTCAAAATGCCTCTTGATACTTGTTCTATGCACTTCATACTAAACTTAAGCAGACTTGCATTAATAATGCAATAGAGCCGTGAAACAATTCTCCTTAATTCAAATGTCAGATAGAGAAACGTTTTTCTCTTACCAAAACCAACCGGTTTATGAACATTAAGATCTTCAGATACTTGTACGACCATCCTAAAGCATTACAGTTCTTTTCACATGTAACTTGATGATTTAACAAATAATCACTTTGCCTATGCACAAAGTAGTTCACAGAGAACCCACCTGATAAAACAATACAAACTTTTTTAAAATTTCAGAATATAAGCTATAAAACAAATTAATACAGAAGTGACATTGGCAGGAAAAAAGATAAAACTCATCAGTATTTGTACTAGTTCCGAATAAGCATTTTTGTTTTTCAAAAATTATACCAAACACTGCCGAATTTTTGCTTGACATTAACTGAACACATTCTGAAGGCTTTTAATAAATAAAAAAGTTTTCTTACTAGTGAAACTTACTCTTTACTTCCCCATGAACTTTCTCTAGGTCTGTGACCAAGCATAGCTCAAATGGGGTTCTTTCCACTATGCAAATTAAAACACGATGCATGTTAACTCCTTTAAGGTAAAGGTTCTCCAAAAAATTTTCTCCAAGTTCATTTATAAACAACTGGGCTTTAAAAGTTACTATGTTTATAAGCCAATATGCTCATCCTTCCAACCAGGAAACAAAGAAAATATTTTATTTAGAAAGTTCAAGTGCACTATGCCAAATACAATAAAATCGAGTATGTGGACAAGACAGATGTTATACTTTATTTCTACTCTTCCCTTACAGAAATGAGTAACACCAAATTCTCTCAGTTCAATTAATGTACTGTTCTTTACCAGCCTTCTCACACTAAAGCTTAATTGTATCTATGAGACTCCAGAAATGGTGGATTTTCCCCATTTAGTTATGAAAAAAATTAAGCCTACAGAAAATGCTGTATACCATCCACCTGAGTTCAACAATTGTTAAGGATTTGCCATATATGTGTATGTTTCTTCCCTCCAATCACTCAAAGTTACACACATCATGACACTTCACCACTAGGACATCAGCACAACTCTCATAAAAATAAGGGTATTCTTCTCTATAGCACAGTATTATTTACATATTTGAGAAAGTTAACAATGTCTTAATAGCACAGAATTAACCCATACTCAAGTTTATCCAATTCTCCCCAAAATGTTTTCTAATCAACAGTTTTTTTCTCAAGCCTCGATGCAATCAAGTTCACACATGGCATTTGGTTCCTGTATCTCTTCATTCTCTTTTAATCTAGAACAGATCTCCTTTTTTCCTTTTCATAAAATGAACTTTAAAAGAACCCGGGTTATTGTTCTGTGGGATGTCCCACATTCTGAGTACAATCGTTTTCTCATGGTGTGTTTAACTTGCTCCTCTATCCCATGTTTTCCTGTACACAGAAAACTGCATCTAGAGGTTTACAGAAGTCATGGTTTTCACCTTCTTCTCTAGGTTCTACTTGCTAACTTTCCAAGAATAGTTCAGAATCCTGCTTGCAACACATAGTAAAATATATTTTAATTGTATAATTCCCTAAGACCAATAATGAAAAATTAAGTTTGAAAATAGGGTTTTCTCACTTAAGATAGAAAGCATAAGTAGTATTTTTTAAAGTACAGATATTTCAACTAATTTTATAAATCCAATTTTCCTCAGCCTTAAACAATATAGGACAATCCATAAGAAAATATTTAATAAGTACTACCTTTAATTTCAATGTAAAGATTTTAAAAATTCCCATTTGTTTTTATACAAAGGGAATGAAAACCAGAGGCAGAAGAATTCTATTATTCTTTCACATAACTACCAGTCTCCCTGGAAATCTTTATTTTCTTGTAATCAGTGTTCATCTTGACTGTAACACTGAGCAAACTATTACAACTTCACAAGAAAAAAAAAGTAAGAAGAATAACTCTTGTTAGTATATTAAAAACTAAGAGAGGACTGTGAAAGCCAGCTATATTTATTAAGAGATTTATGAAGTCTTCAAATTATAAGGTTGCAAATGACCTAAGACGTCAATTTAATAATTATGTTCTTCTTAATGCTGGAACCTTCGCTATAATATTCTCACTGAGT